CCCCAAAACCCCAAAACCCCAAAACCCCATGTAGGCCAAAATACTCAAAATAATATGCAAGCCAGAATTGATTTTGACTAATATATACTCTCTTGAATTATGAAATTTTAATTAAAATAAAGGTATAACAAGTTTCATTAAATATATAGCAATAGATCATAACTATATGCAAATAAGCAAGCATCAACATTTGTCAGTATCTTTATATTTCTTTCTTTATAAAGAATTAAATTTTCGTTATTATTTTTAAGATTCATTCAATTATTATTTCCTAAATTTAGTTTAAGATTCTGCTGGTTTGTTGGATTTTTGACGATTCTCACTTTCTATGCTCACATTTACTTCTTATGAGGAATCGCATTTGCTTTCATCTCGATTTAATTTTTGAGATTCTTCAATTGAAACCTCATTAAGCTCTATTTTGATTGGAAAATCTTAATTTTATATACTCCTATTAATATTTTCATTTAATTGGTTATCCTCATGTTTTGATTATTCATTCACTGGATTTGGGATGTTATTCTCTTAGTTGCCTTCCTATGGTTAATTGAAAACTTTCATTAAAGCAGGGTTGAATTCAGCTTAATTAACCTCCACTGACTCATTTTCAGCTTTGATAGTTTAATCATCCGTTGGTTTATTTTAAGATAAAGAAAGTGGTTTATTCTTAGTCTTATTCATTTTTCTGTTAAATATGTAAAGAATGAGTCCTGATATAATTATTATTATAGCTAAACAAGAGACTATAGAAGCTATCAAAATTACTTAGCTATTATTATCTGAAGGTTTTAAGTCTAAAGCAGTGGTATCAGGCTAAAAGTATACTACGTTTGAAAAGTTAAATTGATTATTTATAATATATCTGTAATCTGCCAAACCAATTCTGGGAGCATTCATCTCATAAGTCTGATAGTAACCTCTCAAAAAGTTATCTCCTAGCAACCAATAAGTAGACTAGCTTGAAGTATCTTCAATTAACTAAATTTAGCATCCAGGAATACCTTAAAATGTTTGTAGATATTAAAAAGGCTAGATAGAGAACTGTTCTCCTCCAAGATTTATGGAAATCGTTGGATAAGTTTAGTCATTAATATTTGAGCATTAACAAAACCAATATCCCTAGAACTATGTGCAGTTTTTCCCATTAAGGACATATTGAAATACATTTTAGTAATCTCCAGAAGGGATATAGATAAGCGAAGTGCCTGAATCTAAAACTGCATTTTTGCTTTTGGTGAGTGGAATTGCTACTCCATTTATTATTACATTTGATAAAGCTACCTACCAATGATATGGTGATGTCAGCTTAAGCCATTTGATTGGACCATAGTCGTTTGTAGTTGGTAATAAAAAAGTCCCTAACCAAAGCTTGGATTTCTAATTTTAATTCCCAATAAAAATAGTGAATCCATATGATTTAATTCTTCCCTGCTAATACAATTGCTAAACAAATAGATCTTGCTGTTTACTTCCAATTTTTGAAACTCCTAACCCAACCAAGCCATCAGATTCCATTGTCTATCAAGATAATTTTGAAATTAATGAATAAGGGTGTCAGGAATAGTAGCAATGTGGAATTTAAAATTACTTACATGAACATCTCCTCCACTGAAAACAGAAAGAAAACTAAAATTGGTCACATTAAATAGATCATTTTAGTCAACTGCAAAATGCTCTTTTGCTAAATACCCAGTCACGTTTCCTTGAGCATACTATATGTTGGATTTAATACCAGCACTATTTTTACTGTAATTTATGAAACATTTGTTGTCTATTTGTAAGAACTTGATGTCGTTGTATTGAATCTTTTGTTTGTGCATACATTTGCAGGGCAATCAATGTTAGGCAGCCAAATCCACTTAAAGTAATTAAATGCTAAAATTACAGATGAACCTGTGTCAAACATGAATGTGAATTAGGTTGCTGGAGTTCCTACATAAAGAGTCCCATAATATTGATTATCGTTGTAGTTTTTCAAATCAAGCTCTGCAGAATCCTACAAAAAGCGATCTATTTTTATATGAAGATTCCATAAAAAAGTTTACTATGTCTATGATAAAGCTCTTTATTTGTAAAGTTTAAGAGAGGGCTTGGCCTTAAAACTTCTTTTCTGCTTAATTCTATCTCCATAAATCCTTGATTATTATAATCATCTATTCTTTGATCTTTATTTATTTAAGTGCTTGCTCTAGCTTGCATAAATATTGAGATCATGGTATAGAAAATTGTGGATATTATGAGCATTTTTGAAAATTGGTTTTAACTTTTAGGTTGCTTTAATTTAAACAATCTCATTCTATTTTAATTTTATAAACAGTTCAATATGCAGATATTTAATGATGGGGTTTTGGGGTTTTGGGG